AGAAAAGATGCGACAATTCAATGTAGAGAAATAGTCATAACACAAGCGAACACCATGCAATGCAATTACTAAATAAAAATTACATGCAATCAATACATAAATCATGGAAGCCAGAATCTATGGAACTCAAAATGCAAAGGTATTAAACTGTGATCAGATCTAAAACCAAGAATCAAAGGAATTTCCGGGGAAGCCAACATTTTGGAAACAGACACCAGTGTGAAGTTTAAATCTGATGCCAAACTCAAAACCACTGTTACGTGTTACAAGTAACAAAAGGGCCTTCCAATATGCAGCTGGTGATTCCATACCATTTGTAGGCGGCACCGGGAATGAAAAGCCTCAATGGTTTATACGCTTATACTAACTTAGAATAGCTTTTAAATTAACCTATGGCAGTTAAAACCACTTGTTTCCACTTGTTAGATGAACCTAGCACAAAAAGAAGCATAGAAATTAATGAAATTATTATCACTACAACTGATCCAGAGCAGTCCCAGAATAACATACATTAAGAGGGTGAAAAGAAACTGATGGAAGATGCTTGAATAGTCTCATTCCAAGAAATATCTCAAGTTGCTTTTGACGAGAGCTGTCGACAACTGCATTTTTATATCTCCTCTGCAAAGTAATTTTCATATTCTGAGCTGCAGAAAATTGTTTGAATTTTCCTGCATCGTCATTGAAGATGCTGAGGATTTGGCTATGCATAGCTTTCGAACCGGTATAAAGTGTTGCATGAATATCACCCGCAAGCAGAAAAATATCAGCAAGCTGGGATACTGGTGATAAAATTGTTGACCTCTTGAACTCCTCAAATGCCATATCAAATCTCTTCCAAGGTTCATCGGGACACGGATGCGTCCATGTTGTGGTCCTAGTATTGTGATCAATATAAAAAGTTTTCCCTGTTACTGCATCGGATCTCTTCTCCCAGCCTGGTGGCAGAGGAGCTGTATAGCCACCATAAGTACTCATTGACTGATAACCAAATGCCAAATCACTATCAAGTGATATACAAAGCCGCCTACACTGCTCCACAAAAACCTGGAGGGAGCCAAAATAACTTGCAGCATTTGTCCTATCCAAAGAATCAGCACAGTTGAAACGTATCACACCATTTTGACGTGATCTTAAGCAGAAAGCACCTTCAAAGTCATCATTGTAGATAATTTCTCCTCTGCAGTCCTTAATTCTTTCTCGTGAAGGCAAAAAATCTCCTTCAGAAATGCCTATGGAAGTAGTGGGTGCTTTTAGATGTTTCCATAATCCTTCGATGGTTTGCTGTTCACCTCTTAACTTTATACTGGCATGCCAGTCATAATTTATCAATTCAATTCGAGTATAAGGAAGTTTTCTGGTTGACTTGATGTACTTTAAAGATTTCTCAAAATGTTGAACTAAAATACATTCTGACTTTCCTTCTCCACTCCTAAGCAAGTTGATGCATACAATTGGAACAAACGCCTTTCTATTCTGACTCCCCCCAACAGCCACGTCAAAATTTCGTGCATCATACCTCTTACTCAACCTCTGGTAGTACTCCGAACTTCCTTTATAAGGATCGCGATCCGAAACGTATATTTCTGCTTCTGCAGCAGTAATCTTTAACTCTGCACCCCACCAAATTGGAATTGTACCCCGTCGCCACACGTATGTGTTAAAAGGAACTGTTTGACCAGCCCTTCTAGGGATCCATACAAGTTGCTCACACTCCACTTCATTTCCTGTCAGACTTGCCATCTTCATAAGTATGAAAAGTTCACTTAAAACATAAAGTAAGAGGAGAATATTTTTCATTTAGAATGTAAATTCGTACTCCTAAATGAGAAGAATACAAAATACAAGATGAAGCCATCTAAGCAAAACAAAAACAAAATAATACAAACAAAACGAAAAAGAAATACTGTAGATTAATGAATTTCATAAAAAAATATCAATATGTTCTTTTCTAAATTACTTTCTGTCCTCAATGTTCTGAGAAACTCCACTGGAAATCAATGACAAAAATGACACAACCATGGGTATCTTCAAAGATAAAAAGTTTGAGAGTTGTTAATAACTTAATAGGTCAGATTACCTGTGCTAAAACATGAATTCAATCCCCTAGCCAAGTACCGAGTACCAGGATGCAGCCTGCTACGACGAGCTATGAGAGCAACAATTCCTTCCACCTTCCCTAAGGTTCCAAAACTTCGACACTCTGCAAAACCCTACACATTAATATCAAGTAAGTGAACGGTATGAAAGGGTTAAATTTACATCTAATTGCATAATTCCATATGCTATCTTCAAATCTTAACAACAATTTAACTTCTTGTGTCAGTCATATTCAATGAAGGCAAAATTGAGCACCTAATACATAGATAAGTTCAACAACTTGTTTCCTAATACAACGGTTATGAAATCCTTATCATTATCAGTGGTAAAATATATACTCAAAGAGTTGCACATAAATATAAGTACATGTAAATGCAGAGTTGAACCAGTTGGCTATAATGAGCATATCGTGCATAGGCTCGAACAATCATCATCACTAAATCGAGGTGGTAGGCTAAGAAATCAGATGGTTAAAGATAAGGATCAGGTGAAAGAAGATAATAGTCAGATGAGCACCAATTTGATGATACCAAGAATGAAGCAAAACCTGAAGAAGAGTGACACAATGCTGCGGCAGCCCAATGTTTTTGAAAGCCATCGAGAACCAGGCGTTCCAAACAAATTCATCATCGGGCTCACGCAAGCACATACGGCTAGGAAATGGTTGAGTGATATCCCTTGCGTCACAAAAGTAGTGCTTCCCATTAATGTCAAGATCTGTTAATTCATTAACATTCTTTTCTTCTCCTTTCCCTTGTGGTTGTGGATTCTGAAGTTGAATCTTGATCCATTGGCTCTCAGTCACCGTATAAATGCACCCTCCACCAGGCAAATTTGGAACACTAGCAGTCAACTTGGTAGCCACGAGAAGCAAACCAATGCTGCCCAAAGCAGCATAACCCAATATTGCACGCGCATAGGTCGTATTCTTACACAACCAATGTGATCCGTTCGTAACATATTCCAATGCTTCCCTTTCGGATTTGAAAACATCAAATCCTGGCTTTGCATTGTAGCGAAGCACTCCGGTTGTGGGATCAACATGTATAACCTGAGTGTCGAGCCTGGAAGACAAACTCGCAATTATATATACTTCACCAGGATCCAACGTCACAACTACAACAGATGTCTCCCTTATACCACCACCTGTAATGTATTTAATATAAAACAGAAAGCATAAGCAACCTTGCAAAGAAAGCTAACATGTATGATGTATGACTCTACGCACCAAGTAAGCGTGTGTGTGCGCATATATAGGGCGCTGTTATTAGCACTCCAAAATAGTCATCGTGCACTCTTCCATAACAAAAGGTCGAAAACAACTCTTTATATTTATGCATCAACAGCAGCAACAATAAGAATTCAATGTCAATTTAACAGACAAAATTGAAAGTGTTCAAGCTGTTTAAGTTATCAGAATCCGATTGAAGATGCGACAAACAAACAGACATGAAATGCATAGCTCGCAAGGAAAGAACGAAAACTAAGAGCATATAATCTACACACACATACTCTCGAACAGAAAATAATTTGCAAGCTGAAAGAAAAAGAAGTGATAGAGGTCGCATTCGAAGTTGAAAAGCTGTAGATCATATCGCATATCAGAGAATTGAAGCTTGAAGAAGATTACCAGCTGATTCCATGCGATCTCTCTCTCTTTTGTTACCGCGCGATGCAGGAGGAGTTCGATCTGACGGAGAGAGGAATGATATTATTGAAGGCGCCGGCGAACTGGAAGAGCAGGCATCGAAGGACGTCGATTGGACCGGTACCACTCAGCAGAACTCACCGCTTCTCCGGTCTTACAGATTTGGCATCGGAAAATATGAAGTCATACCCGGCAGGCACAGCGCGAGATAATAAACGATGACTTTTTTTATTTTTTTTTCTGTACTTTTTACTTTTTTTGGTTAATGGTTGTTTATTTATTTATATTTTGGTACTAATTTGTTCTTATTAAAAACATCGAAAAAAAAACTTTCGTGTTTCCTTATTTGTTAAAAAGAACAACAATGTTTTGTGTGTTTTTCATAAAACAACAAATAGGATTGGAATAAATACATTTTTTCAATTTGTAAGAATGTCACAATTTTGATTCTAGTTAATCTTTCTTAATTCCTTACATAACATATTTTTAAAATAATAAAAACTACTTGTCTGATTAAAAGGGTATTTGCTAATTAGTAATTATTTTTTAATTTTTAGTATAAAAGATAAAAATTAAAATCGGACAATTAAATTTCAAAAACTCACAAAATTAACTTTTATTAAGAAGTAAAAATTTGACTGAATAAAATGATTATGAAATAACTCCTACTTTACTGTTTTTAAAATTTGGCTTGGATTTGATTTTCAATTGCCATTTTAAACTAAAGTTTTCATTTAAAAAAAAATTAAGAATGTAATTAAAATGGTTATCAAACGAGCTCTTAATAAAACTTAATATTTGCTTTTATTCCGAAACACCTCAATAGATTCCTAAAAGCAACACAAGATATAATATATTTTTTACGGTATTGGAACAGGAGTCTGTACACCATATATTATAATATAAATAGAGGAACAATTAAAAAAAAATATCTTAACTTACATTATAACATGTGGTGTATTAACTCGTGATTTTGGCACATGAAAAAATGCCAAATTACATAAACTTCCAAGTAGAGAAATAGTGAAACATAAAAAAATCCGTAAATCGAGTATTTTATTTTTTATTACGTGAAAAAATAAAAATAAAATGTAAAATGCCAAAACTCGCGGGAAAGAAAACTGAATGCATAAAAGTATAGGGATGTTGCGCCAAAGCCCCCGCAAGAACGCCCGAAACAAGCACATGTCCCCACCGCAGAAACGAGAGGCAAAGAAGAAGCTATCTATATTCTTTCACTGGACGATCTCTATATTCTTTCATTCGACGATTCCATCACAAAATTGAAAACCCACTTTTCAGATGCTTGATGCAATTTAATGTTAGTTTAGGGTTATTTTAGCAAAGTGTTGGTGGAATTTGATTGTGTTTGTTGCTGAATAATTGAGTTTTGGTCGGCGGGTTGACATGGCCATGCTGCCTGTTTGCTCAGCCACCTCATGCTGGTCTTCCCTTTCTCAGGTAAGATCTTGCATGCTCCTCAAAGACTGACCCTTCACTGTGATTTTTCTTATAATTTATTGGCATGCAAAGCAAGCTGCATTAAAGGGTCCTTTAATTTATACTGACGTGCCGACGTGAGTTAAGTCGGTTGGTATGTGGCCGGCTTGTTCATTCAAATCCGCTTCCATGCAAATTAGAGTACTCTAGAATATCGCATTTTCAAAAGAAAGACGAGCTTTTTTCTGAGAATTTGAAGTGTTTTTGTAGTTTGTACGTAATGAAGCATGTTATGATCATCTTGTATTATTTTCTGAGAATTTGAAACAAGTAATTTTGTTTGGCATCATGTCATATTTGTGTAACATTTTTGGTCAAAGTTTTAATGAAATTCCGAATTTGAAATGTACATGTATGCAAATGGATGTCGCAGGTTTACGTACACGGAGGGTTGCATGCCAGTTCCCAATTCCCGAAGGATTTTGAGGCCAGGTGCATTGCGGAATGTAGGGGCTCCCTAAGCTTGTCAAATGCAATGCATTTTCAAAGAGGTTCCTTTAAAGCACATGCTACAAAGTCTTTGTATCCGAGCTTCGTGAAAAGCGCAGAACAATCCGTCTCCGTGGATTTTGTTAACAGGAGTTCCTGTTCAAATGAATCAGACCATCTAAAGTGCAAGTATTCAGACATGTGGAGTTCCTCTACTAAAACCATTTATGAACAGCACCCGCCGGGAAGGGTGGAACTGAAATTTGTAGACACCTCTAGCCTATTGGCTCCTGATGAGGGACTCGTTGACTTTACTAATCCGTCGACTGAAAATGAAAGTATCTTATCGGCACCCATAGAACCTGAAAGCATATCAGCTACTGATTTAACACCAGGGAATTCCACCTCTGTACCCGACTCCTTAGACATGGATAGTGATAAATTATCCAGTATGAAAACTAGCGTTGAGGGCTTCTTCGACGGGGTTAGCAAATCTTTCAGTGCATCAGTAGATAAGGGAGAAGATACTGTTAAAACCTCACTAGATACAATCACTGCATCAATATCATCTGTTGTTAAAAGTGCTACCGAAGCAGTGGATAATACTGTTGACGGATTGTTTTCAACGGTGGATCAAGCGGGACAATATGGGGGTAGTAAAATGACAAATTTTTCAAGCGACTTTAAGGAAGCCACAAGTAAAGGAGCTGTTTTTGCTATTGATGTCTTGAGACGTTCAATTGCTGTGGTGGAGGATACTCTATCAAATGGGGCTTCCTTTGCTGTTAGTTCTTACCAGTCTGCCAAGGACTTTCTTCCTCCTGACATCAGTGATGCGCTAAATTTGTCTGAAAAGAGAGTTGCAGAGCTCTTGGGGCCTGCCAAAACTGCTTTTCAACAGGTATTAATATTACACTTCCAGTCTATAGAGCTTTTTGGTTGAGCAGTAAAAGAAAAAAGATTGCGGTTTGCAGAGTTGTAAGTTATTCTAAATAATTTGTAAGTTTCAAACTGGTTCTCTGAAAAAAAAAAAAAGAAAAAAAAAGCGGGTTAGTTAATTTTGGTTGGATGCCTTTTTTTTTTCCAAACCATCAGCCCCACTTTGTTATAGTTTCCTACTTTCCGTTATAAGCTTAAACTATACATTCAATCATTTATATCCTGAGTTTTGCCGCTGTTGTAATGACAGTTTTTTGAGTAATATTGTCAGCTGGATCTGAATCTGTGAAAGCAGGTTTATATTTCGATTGAGGGGTTGGAGGAAAATCTTGGGTTGGACCCTAATGATCCAATCGTTCCATTTGTTCTATTTCTTGGCACCTCAGCCACTTTATGGTATGGATATCCTTTTGTTCTAATGAAGACTGTTTTTACGTTTCTATTGTCCTGCTGTGTGAGAAATTTATATTTCCTATCAGATACGCTGCAGGGTCATTTATCGGGTGTGGACATATAGTGGTTACGCCGGAGATTTATCTCCTCAGTCGACATTGGAGCTCTTGACAGGGAAAGAGAATGCTGTGCTCATTGGTGTCCGACCTGAGGCAAGATTTTGCTTACTTTTGGCCTTTATATTTAGTTGCGCTAATACTACCATCAAACCTTTGCCTAACGAGGGCTGTAAAAACTAAGAATTATTTTAATTGCCTAAAGTAAAACACAATGTCCAGTGATCAAATTCATGCTCCTTTTTTAAGACTTTAAATACTATTGCTAAGTGTTTGCTTCTCAAATTTGCCAATGATTGGTTCTGGAATTTCCTTTATGAAGGTTCTGAGAGAAAGAGAGGGTATTCCAGATCTTCGACGAGCAGCTCGCTTTCGCTATGCAAGTGTGGCTCTACCTGAGGTTGGCTCATAATTAGATTTCAATTTGAAGATATGAATGACGTGATCGTATTACAGATTTGCTAGGGTGAAAGCAGTCATATCCTTTCTCTCCATATACTTTTTATGCCTTTGTTCTGCACTTGTTGAACAAAAAACTTCAGGTTGATGGCGCTGTATGGAAATTAGTGAAGAGAGGAAGGGATCTTAATGACACCTTAACTGCTGCTGTTATTCGGAACTTGAAGATTGTTCGGGTAAAGCAGTTTCAGGCTTTTATTTATCTTAAAACTATACCAATTTGAAGCCTACTAAAAGATCACAGGAAGATCATGGACTGGGATGTACCAATTCTCCGTTCTTTAGTGATAGTACCATATTTGGTGACCATGGACGCCTGAAAGTGTCTTACAGTCTCCACCTAAAGAACTTTCACAATTTTTTGGCCCGCAAAAATATGAGAAAGGAAATTCTTAAGGATAAAAACCATTCAAATTCAAGTTTTTAGCACTGCCCTGGTGACCTTAGGTATATTGTTATATCTGTCCAAGGACTTGAACGGGGTTGTATGCTTGTAAAAAGTTGTTCACATCTAACAGCAGGATCTTCTGTCTAAAACTATGGGAAAGTGCGATGATTAGCATCTGCTTGAGTAATGAATAATGCGTTCTATATTGTTTTGTACTCTTTGTAGGACAGGTCCAAGGTCATAGTTATGGAAGCTGATGGTACTCTTTCCAAAGGTATTGCAAGATCCTTGAGAAAGCTTGGGCTCAAGGCAAGTACATAATGCAAGTTAAAGATTCATATTTTAATTAATAAAATTCATTAGGACTTTTTTATGGATACTGGTATTTATCGTAAGAAAACCACTCAATGCATCGTAAATTTTTGGTATTTCTGGAATTGCTGAGCAATTTCGTAGATACTAATACCTTGAGATGTTTAAATGACAGAAACCGTACTTGGTTCAAGGTGGCTTTCAATCTTGGGTGAAATATGGTCTCCGTATCAAGGAACTCAAACCTGAGACAACATTTACCATACTCAATGAGGTATTTATCTCTTTGAAGCTGTTTGTTCTTGTAAGTTATAACAGATACAAGAGATGATAATATGCTGGTTGGTGAATTTTTACGAATGGCACCTAATTCCCTTGATAATAACCGATGCGATTACTTTCTTTTCAACAACGTTGTTGGATTGCAGTGGCTGAGGCTCTCTTGTATATGTAACGTGGACCCCTTTTTTTTTAGCTTTGTTGAAAAAGAAGAAAGTGAATGAGATAAATATGTTTGACAACCAGAAGAATAGTCATGACTGCATTCAACACAGATTATTGCTGTTTTCCCCCTTTCTGCCACTTTTTTACAGAATTGTAAACCAGATTTGAGCTTTTCACTTGTGCACAATTGCAAAAATTGTATCATTTTAGGATGCTGAGGCAATTCTGGAGGATATCAGTCCTTCTCCGGTGCAAGTTCTTGGGTCTGGTGTGGTAAGACAAATTGTCTGCATTAGTTTCTACTTTATATTGATCCATCTTTTGTTATTACGAAAACTTGATTTTGTTTTGTGTGTTGTAGAAATGTTTAGCTGCCATGCAATTTCAAGTGCATCATTCGCTAACTTACGCAACTACCTTCTGTGCAGGGATTGATTGCAGCATTGTATGCACTACTAGGTGTGTGTATATGTGCCTTAAATTTCTCTCTAAAAAGAAATCGGATTACTTAATTGTTTTCCACTCAAGTCCGTACAGTTCTAATTTCACCATATATACAGCTAAATTTTGCTAGTGAATCAATCTTGTTTCACTGTAAATCAAATTCCTTCCCTTGGGCCGGATTTCTTCCCCCATCTCTAATCAGCATGATTCATTGGATTACAGAGTGGGAGAAGAAGTTACAACTGATTGGTGTTGTTGGCGTTGGTCAGGTATTATAATCTTCCTAGGATGAGTGCGGTACTTTTTTCTTCTTCCCCTTTCTCATTGCTCTTTTCTTCGATTCCACCAGACCATTTATCGGCAGGTGGCATCTTATGACACTGCAGAAGATTTTAAACAAGACGTGAGGTAAAGCTAACTACATTAGGCCCAGTAGATTGTGTCTTTCACCGTACTGTTGGAGTCAATGTTGAGAGAACTTGCCCCACTAACCTGGACAGAAGGAATACTGCACGTGGGTACAATATTCCTTGTCAGCAGACTACCATATGGTTTCAGCTCCTGTGCTCTGATGTGTTGCAGCATGGGCAGCAAGCACGCCACCTTTACAACGTGGGTACAATATTCCTTGTCAGCAGACTACCACGTGGTTTCAGCTCCTGTGCTCTGATGTGTTGCAGCATGGGCAGCAAGCACGCCACCTTTACAACATTTGTTTATTGCATGCAATTGTTTAAATGCATGCGTGTGTGTAAGATGTATATAATACAACCAACTGCCATTACAGCAGTCTATCAATAACACAACCAAATATTAAACTTAATATGGTATCAAAGCACAGGCAATCCTTTGCTCTGCTCTGCCTTGACACGCCCCGACCCCGATATTCCCCGAATACCAGGATAGGCACATGCTGGCTGACACCCGAGGGTGATGAAAGCCATTTATTGAGTGCAAATGCTGAAAACAAAGGATAAATAAGGCTTATAAATATAAAAGAATAATGAATATGCAAATAAGGACCTTCAGAGCACACCACTAATCTAGAACACTAAAGGAAAATAATATAAAATTGAATGAAACGAAGGAGTGGGTCCTACACCGAGAGGGCTCGAAGATGCCGATGCGAATGTGCCTGGACGTCGGGATTGTATGCCTCGATTCTAAGTCCTGAAGGGGGCGCAAAACAAACATGAGTGGACCAAGTTGATATATATATATATAATAAAACAGTTATCAACATACTAACCCCCAGGTTTTATTAAAACACATATATAATGATAAACATAGGTTTTCCGAAACCTAGCATGTCGTGCAATGTCTCAAATCATAATTCGCATAAATAATAAACACTAGTGAATGTCCGATATAACACTTCAGGCCCCATGCCGGCTCCCCGTCTCTGAGCACACAGTCAGAGGAAAATACACTTCAGGCCCCGTGCCGGCTCCCAGTCTCTGAGCAGACAGTCAGAGGAAAACACACTCCAGGCCCTATGCCAACACCAAACCGTCGCCCGGGACGGACCGGATCTATCCCTACGTCCCGTAGCGGAAAGGACCACTAGGTAAGTACAAAACCAGTGAACATACATATATTTGAAAATCAACTTCATAGTATAAAGTCATCTATCATCTATACTATAAAGAGGTGTTCTAAATATGTTCTAAATATCATATCGTCATCCATCAGATATTCTATAAGAACATGGGTTATAGGAAAAATAGTAATAATTCAAACTAGCCTCAGTAAGCATGTTATCTCGTAAAACGTTTCATAAAACATAATCATCAAATCATGCTTTTCATGTATGCATTTCTACTATCAAAACATGCATTTTTAGAAGGGGTCCACTCACAGTACTTCGCCGTCGAAAAGCCACGCCATCTAGCAAAGAAGGAAACGCCACAGATAATCGCCCCTAAGCACATAAACGGTACATTTAGTCAAACTCTACTCAAACGATTAAATTTGGGAAAATGGACATCGGAAACGGGTTCAGGACGTCGAAATTAGCCTAGGAGGGGTCCTGCACGAAAACCGAAAAAGTCAACCCCCGAGGTCAAAGTCAACGTTGACCTGTCAAAGTCAACGCTGACCGTTGACTGGGTCAACGGTCAACGGGTCAGGGTCACGGGTCAACGGGTCAGGCTTTAGGGTTTGGGTATTGGATCCGGGTTTGGGCCTAAGGGTTTGGGTTAGGGTAATTGGGTTTAGGTTTTAGGTGGGTTGGATTTTGGGTTAGAAACCATACGGCCCAAAAGCCTAAATAAAAGGGTAATGGGTTTGGGCTTGCAACTAGGGTTTTGGGCTAGGGTTTTAAGTGGGTTGGGTTTGGGTAAAAACAGAAAATGGGTTTGGGTTCTTGAACCTCACGGCCCAAGGCCTAATTAAAAAGGGGAAATGGGTTTGGGCTGCAACCAAGGCCCGAAGGCCTTTTGGGTTTTTAAATGAAACAAAATAAAAATAAAAAGGAAAAGGTTTAGGGTTTTGGGCCAGAGACCAAACGGGCCTAAGGCCCGTGGGGGAAGGAAACGGCCTGAAGGCCTGGGTGTTTTCTTGGGCTGGGTTTCACGCCGGAGAAGAAGGCCGGAATTCAGCCGGAATTTAGACAAACTTTGAACGTCCGTAACTTTGTTAATACTCGACGAAATCAATTGATTCAAAAATGAAAATCGTAGCTCTCGAAGAGACGAAGAGAATGGTACCTCACACGACGTCTAACTCGCCGTGGTTTGGCTGGAAAACACCTCGAAAGTCACTGAGGTCGCCGGAAACTGGGTAAGATTCAAATGAGTATAACTTCTTCAATACTCAATGAAATTAGGTGAAACAAAAAGGAAAGTTGTAGTACTCAGCGAGACGAAGATATTGATACCTCGCACGCCGGCCAAATCGCCGTGGTTTGGCCGGAAATCGCCTCGAAAGGGACGGTGCTCGCCGGAAATTTGGGTGTGCACTCACCCGTGCCAAAAACACTCCAAAACCTTGGAAAATCAAGAACCCAAGTTCAAAAACCACATCTAACCAACATCTAACAAGACTAAAAAGGGAGAAACCATGCTTACCCAACCGGAAAAACAACCAAAACTCGCCGGAGGTGCTCGGCGTACTCCGGCACCGCGAGCAGGGGAGAGAGAAAGAGAGAGAGAGAAGCAATTCAACGGCGATGATGGTGATGATTTCCTCGAGTAGGTGTAGCTGTGGGTGTGTGTGTGTGTGTGGTTGTCACGGGTAGAAGAAGAAGAAGAAGAAGAGGAATGAGAGTTTTCGAAAAGAAAGGAAAAAGGTGTAGACAACAAAAGAAAAGAAGGAAAAGAAGAAATAAGAAAAAGAAGAAAGAAGAAAGGAGGGACACGGCAGGGGGGACAAAACAGGGGGTGGGCCCCTTGGGCTCACCAATTAAGGCTCAAAAACAATTTTAAAAAGGAAGGTATCCCCCAAATTTTGTGAAAAAATACAAAAATACCCATTTTCTTACGTAAATCCCGGGACGGGTTGTTACATGCCTTCACTCTTCCGCTGCTATACTGTGAACAGCGACATCTGTTACTGCAGCAACCAGTGCAATGCAAGCTGCACACTCGCTGCCTTGCCGTCGCAAAGCTGCTACACAGCCATCGTCGCTGCTCTACCTGTCACAGCCATTAAGCACAGCCAAGCACAGCCACTGCACACTGCCTGCCGACATGGCAACTGACTCTTCCAGCAAACACACCAAATACGAAGATCCCAGCGATCCTCTTTATCTTCATCACTCTGATCAGCCTGGAGCGATCCTCGTCACACACCCTTTGAATGACGAAAATTACTCCACTTGGAGCCGAGCCATGGCCATGGCCCTCAATGCCAAGAACAAGGAAGGATTCATCAATGGATCCATTAAAAGGCCCGAGTCTGCATCCACAAGTGAATTCCAACAGTGGACTCGTTGCAACAACCTCGTGAAATCCTGGCTGCTCAACTCTGTCTCAAAAGATATCGGAGCAAGTATCATCTACAACAATGTTGCAGCTGATATTTGGAATGAGTTGAAGGAACGTTTCTCTCACACAAACAGTGTACATCTCTTCCATATTGAACAAGAGATACATGGAAGTGTTCAAGGAAATTTGAACATTGGTGCATATTATACCAAACTGAAAAGTTTTTGGGATGAACGTGATGCCATGTGCACTCTCCCAACCTGTACATGTGGAGCTGCAAAAGAATTAATGCAGTTTCAGCAAAGTCAGAAAACCATGAAGTTTCTCATGGGCCTCAATAAATCCTACGCTGCGGTTCATGGGCAACTTTTACTTATGGATCCCCTCCCTGTTGTTAACAAAGCTTTCTCACTTATTATTCAAGATGAGAAGCAAAGAACAGTTTCAATACATGCTCCTGGAAGGTCCTCAGTCACCGATACCGCAGCTTTCGCCGTGCGGGATAACATGCGAAACTCTGGTAGGAATTTTTCTCCAAGAAATTCCCATCTAAAATGTGGTCGTTGTGATGCAACTGGACACACTTCAGATACCTGTCGTGCACACCTCAAGTGCGACTACTGTAATTGGAGAGGTCACACCATTGATCAATGCCGCAAACTGAAAAAGGCGAAAGACAACAGCAATAGGGGAGATTATCAGGATCGTAGGGGTTCCAATTCCAAGGCTAATCATGTTGATACCCGGCCAACGCCTCCAGCAATATCTCCTTCGTCCTACAGCCTCACTTCCGAGCAATATCACAATCTGCTTGCACTCCTTGATAAGAGTCAATCCAACTCCACATCTAATCATGTCGGTACCACCTCTACTATGAATAACTTGTTAGGTAGAGTTTTTTGTGCTTCTGCTCTTAATAAGGGAAGGGACTGGATTTTCGATACAGGCGCCACAGACCACATGGTCTGCTCACCAAGCTTAATGACCACAAGTGTTCCGGTATACAATCGACAAGTGCACTTACCCAATCATGCACTTGCCGATGTCACACATATTGGCACAGTTCATCTCTCGAATGATCTCACCCTTCACAACGTGCTTTGTGTTCCATCATTTAAACTGAATTTAATTTCTGTCAGCAAACTCACTAATACCTCATCTTGCTTTGTCATCTTCACTGATAAAATGTGTCTACTTCAGGGCCAACGATCGGGGAAGATGATTGGGACGGGAACTGAACGAGAAGGACTCTACTACCTTGATAATGTGATGAAAACCAGGTGCAATTCAGCGTCAATTGTTGCCTCTTCTTCTTCTCAGCTTTGGCATCAACGCCTTGGCCATCTTTCCAACAAGACCTTACAGCATCTCTCTACTTGCATTAAAAATTTGAATTTTTGTAGCATTGATGATTGTTTGATCTGTCCATTAGCCAAACAAACACGTGCTCCTTTTCCTTTGAGTTCTATCACCACAAAGGCTCCTTTTGAGTTAATTCATGTTGACATTTGGGGAGGTTACCATGTTCCCACTATCACAGGGGCACAATGTTTCTTAACTATTGTGGATGATTTCTCAAGATGCACATGGGTTTATTTAATGAATCACAAATCAGATGCACGATCTTATCTCATCACTTTCATCCACCTTGTTGAAACACAATTTTCCACACGAGTCAAGGTTCTTCGTAGTGATAACGGTCCAGAATTTTTTATGACCCAATTTTTTTCAGATAAGGGGATTCTCCATCAAACAAGTTGTGTCTCTACTCCCCAACAAAACGGGGTAGCAGAGCGCAAACACCGCCACTTACTCAATGTTGCTAGAGCCTTACTTTTTCAATCTCATCTTCCTAAGAAATTTTGGGGTGATGCAATCCTCACTGCCACTTATCTCATAAATCGGACTCCCACTCCTCTTCTTCAAGGCAAATCACCCTATGAAATACTTCACCACAAACAGCCAGCGTATGCACATTTGCGAGTGTTTGGTTGCTTATGTTTTTCTTCCACCCACCACCATCGTCCCACAAAATTTGATGCAAGAGCCACACGGTGTTTTTTTCTTGGGTATCCATATGGCACAAAGGGATATCGAGTTTACGACCTTCACAGGGTAAAATCTTTATCTCCAGTGATGTTATTTTCCATGAACATGTGTTCCCTTTTTCATCTTCTGCTGCAGTTTCACCACTTGTGTTTCCACATACTCAAGATACTGCCTGTGATGATCCCATCATTCATCCGTCCATTCTACTGGAGCAGGATTCCGTCGATCCATCCTCTTCTTCGCCGGTGAGTCCTGTTTCGGTTTCATCTCCTTTTCTTTCCACCTCACCACCTCGTCTTAAACGACCCACTCATGCACCTGGTTATCTTCAACAATATCACATCGACATCAACCTCCCTTCTCGGTCCGTCCCTTCATCTCACTCGGCGTTGACCAAAGTACTAGGTACTCCTTACCCTTTGTCTGATGTCCTCACATACGATCGTTTATCTGCTCGACATCGTGCTTTCACCACTTCCATTTCAGCTGCCATAGAACCCAGCTCATTCTCACAGGCTATACGCGACCCTCACTGGCGTTTCGCTATGGAAGAAGAACTGGCAGCCCTTGCTGCGAATAGGACATGGTATCTGCAACCATTGCCCCCTGGCAAGAAGCCGGTTGGATGTAAATGGGTTTACAAAATCAAATTTCGATCCGATGGATCCATTGAGAGATATAAAGCACGCTTGGTTGCCAAAGGTTATAGCCAAATTGAAGGCTTAGACCATCGAGAGACCTTTGCTCCGGTTGCAAAATTGACTACAGTTCGTCTACTCCTTGCTGTTGCCTCGGTCCAACAATGGCACCTCCACCAGCTTGATGTTAATAACGCTTTCCTCCATGGTGATCTTGAAGAAGATGTCTACATGTCCTTGCCTCCTGGTTTCGAACGAAAGGGGGAGACACGAGTTTGTAAACTTCATAAATCTTTGTATGGGCTTAAGCAAGCCTCTCGTCAATGGTTTATCAAACTTTTTTGTGCTCTTAGAAAGGCCGGTTATCAACAATCCAAGGCAGATTATTCATTGTTCGTCCGAAACCATGATGGTAAATTCACTGCCCTCCTTGTCTATGTTGATGATATTATCTTGGCAGGAAATAACATACAAGCAATTGAAGATACCAAGTCTTTTCTTATGAAGCAATTCAAGTTGAAAGACCTTGGCCAATTAAGATATTTCTTGGGCATTGAAATTGCTCGCTCTAGCAAGGGGATTACCTTCTCACAGCGAAAATATGCCCTTGAAATACTTGAGGATGCAGGTCATCTTGGCGCAAAACCAGCCACCTCTCCTATGGAGCAAAACTTATCACTCAGAAAGGACGAAGGACAATGGGTTACTGATCCTTCCTCTTATCGACGACTTGTTGGGAGACTAATCTACCTGACAATCACGCGCCCTGATTTGGTGTATGTTGTCTATATTCTTAGTCAATTTATGGAGAAGCCTCGAACTCCACACTTGGAGGCAGCCCAGTGAGTCTTACGATACGTTAAGCACACACCAGGGCAAGGTATTTTTCTTTCTGCAAGAAGTCCAATTCAATTGAATGCTTTTTGTGATGCGGATTGGGCCAGATGTCGAGACACACGACATTCTACCACCGGATACTGTGTATTTCTTGGAGAATCCTTGATCTCCTGGAAAAGCAAGAAACAAAATACTGTGTCACGTTCTAGTGCAGAGGCGGAGTATCGTTCAATGGCAGCAACTTGTTGTGAAGTCACTTGGTTGAAATCTGTTCTACAAGACTTGGGTATCAAACATAAACGTCCAGTCAAGTTATATTGTGATAATCAAGCGGCACTTCACATCGCTTCGAATCCGGTCTTTCACGAAAGAACCAAACACATAGAAATTGACTGCCATCTTGTACGAGAAAGGGTTCAAAGTGGAATGATCGAGACATCTCACATCTCAACCATGAAACAACCAGCCGACATCTTCACAAAGCCACTGAGCTTATACCAGTTTACGACTTTGCTTTGCAAGTTAGGAATAATCAACATTCATTCCAAACTTGAGGGGGAGTGTTGAGAGAACTTGCCCCACTAACCTGGACAGAAGGAATACTGCACGTGGGTACAATATTCCTTGTCAGCAGACTACCACATGGTTTCAGCTCCTGTGCTCTGATGTGTTGCAGCATGGGCAGCAAGCACGCCACCTTTACAACATTTGTTTATTGCATGCAATTGTTTAAATGCATGCGTGTGTGTAAGATGTATATAATACAACCAACTGCCATTACAGCAGTCTATCAATAACACAA